GTCTACTTTTACCTTAAATGCAAAATGAATAAATCCAAATTGTGACACCACTGTAACAGATCAAATCATAAGATGAATTTGATCAACTCTTTACACCTGTTGTAGAGGAGTGAAAAAACATCTTCCTATCCATGCTCTGCCTCCACATCAGCCACGTTAGGGTGGTCGTTCTGCATCTTCACACCTGCGTTTTCTACAGCTTCATAGCCACAAAAACAACATAGTATTTAAGAACATGCCAGATGAGGGCAGTGACATTTTAAATGACATGATTAAAAATACCTGAATGTCTTTAACTTGTAGCCTACTGAAAGGAGCAGGATGATGAAAACAACAGCAAGAATAATCCAGTGGTGGCGGGTAATCCCTGTCAAGAGAACAGATTGTTTTACAGTTAATCCATCAACATTTTATTTTATCTCAAAAGTCCAACAGTTTTCAAATTATGTGATTTAGTGTCCTTTGAAGAAGGGGTGTCGCGAACTCTGACACTATACAGGTGGACCCAAATGCACGACTCTGGCACAGACGAAGTTGAAAAAAAAAAGATATTTATTTTTTCAACAAAAGTCGCTCTCAAGGAGGATTTCAAAAATGCAAACAAAAGTCTAACTTTGATAGGTACATGGAATAACTTGGACTCTGAATTACAACACTTGACAATACTCACTGACTTATAGAACAAGACGAACTGACAAAGGGTGGTTAATACATTCATTGTCGCTTGTTCTTATAGCCAGTGTGGCTAACCAGTATTGAGGGGGGCGTGTGCGTTTATGTGGAATTTCCGTAAAGCAGTTTGGGTTTCTTGCTCGTTCTCGCTTCACACAATACTTCCTATTTCCAACTTAACGGGACGGTAGTCCCAAAGTTGCAAGGTTGGTTTTCTGCCTGGGGACACTAGGGGGAGCGGGGAAAGTCACCATTTTAACCGGAACAGGCCATTTAACCATCCAAATGATTTCTAAACGGGTTTATTAAGTTGAAATAGTTGCCAAGTTCCTCTTTAAACAGTGAGGGAAAAGGTGAGTACAAAATAAAACAGGAAGGACTAACAAAAACACTTAACATGAACATGACTAAACTTAACAAACTTGACTAGGGTGGGCTCTACGTGTAATGCAGCAAGAAGACACTGTTTGTTAAACGACAATTTTCTTGATGGAAAAGATGTTTTAGCCTTTTCTGATTGGTAAGAGTTTGAATACAGTATGTGTTTTGTCGTGCATTTGCATTTTTCAAATGTTTCACAGCCACCATACTTTTGTCCTTCATGGCTGCACAGTTTTTACTCATCCGTAGCAGGAAACAATGTGGCATGGTTACACACGATCTTGTATTACAGCTAAACTGAAACTAAAAATATGTTTCTGAAACAATTTCATATTTGTTCAGCACTGCCTAGTTTGACAGTTTGTTCTAAGTTTCAGTTCATAATTACCTTTTAAACTTCTTACATGGCAACTTACTGCCGTCTAGAATTTATGAATGGAAAGTGCTTTGTGACACACTTATGTGATGTAAACAGGAAGTAGACACTCCCTATGGTTAGACTGAACAAGTTTCATTCACACAATCAAGCCTTTCGGCCCAGTTCAAGTCCTTTTTCTAAGTCTGATCTCTTTTTTTAGATAACTGTTACATACGTCTTCTGGGATGTAACCCATATCTGATACAAACATAAACTACTCATAGTTTGTCCCTACCTTCTACTCTCCGAGGTTCAGAATGTTCAGTGCAGCTGGCTGTAAAAAGAAGATATCATTACATTACACTTGGTAAATCAAAACACATTTAAAATACTGCTCAAAGTCTGCTCAAATGATACTCACTGGTACAGTTTGCCTCACGTAATATCACCTAAGCAGAAACAACAGAGAAAAATGCAGTTCTTCTCATCACACATAACCAATATTGTGAAGACACAGTTTAGCTCACACAATTCAGAGTAGCTACTCTGTTTATTTGCATGTGTTGGACAGGTTTCTACATGTTTATTACCTCAGAGATGCAGTCACGGGTGTAGCGGACCCACTCTAAGCACCCACTGATAACAAGAGTCCTGTTGGTATTTTTCTCCACCAGTTCATTCATTTTGCCTTTGTGGTTCGCCAGCGAATAATCCTTAAGTCAACACATGTAAAACAACTAGTTCAGATTTACAGTTCATATAGACAGCAAACTTCAGGCACAAGTCTCTACCGGCATCTTTATCAAAACAAGCTCATGTATCACAGGTTTGTGAAATTGTATTTGTAAATGTGTGATGTCTGCATTGATGAAAGCGGTCTACATAGAATATTGTTGAGCCCTGGGATTTTTTTAACATACAGAACATGTGTACTGTCTGAACAGTTTGAAAAACAGAACTAAACAATTGTTTTCTAACTTACAGTCTTGTTGGTCCACCGGTAATGGCAGCCGGTTGCCTTGAACTCCTGGATAACGTAATGTGTTTGCATACCATCCCGAGTGACAGTGCAGTTAACAGGAAGTCCAGTGCAAAGCTGTAGAAATAGCACTGGCAGCAAAAAACATTTGGTCTGTGACAGATATACCTGGTGCTGGAGGTTTAATACATCTCAAATTTGCAGAATAAAATGAGGTAAAAACAAACAGTATTTGTTGAAGAAATAATTAAACATAACACTGAGCTTTGGCATATGGTAATTAGTCCAGTCCACACAATATTATACACTTAGCTTTGGCTATACAATGTAAAGATATGCCTAGAGACTATGACTGCAGCTTTAAGTCTCCAAATATCTACATCAGACTCATACAAACCCCCCAAATTGCAATTTATACACTTTTAGATATAAAGTATTATTTATACTATGGCTGGACTTAATACTTGTGCACCCATTGCCCAGTATGCCCAGCTATGAACACTTTAAATTCATTATTTAATCATTAGTCAATGTCAACGCATTGCTTCCCATCTTACATTAGCTCAGAGACTAGATAAAATCATTGTCTTGTCTTGTCTTGTAGGAAATAGTAGTATTTCACTCTCACTATTGTAAGGCACAGTGTCACAGAACAGTAGTGGTGGGCGGATCGATCCAAAATATCGACATATCGATCCAACGTTGGTATTGATATTGATCGATACCAGTGTAATGGGACCGACACTTTGGTTTCTGTCCTGTCCGCGCTGCTGCGGAGGCGACCTGTCTGTCTGTCTGTCTGTCTGTCTCTGTGTAAGTGACGCTCCTGTCACGGAGCAGGGCCAGACACTGAGAGAGCTGCAAACTGCGCATGAATGTTATTATTTATTTACTGACATCAAACGTGTGTTTCTCATTGTGTGTTTCTGGCCCTTGGTTTAATTTGTGTAATTCAAACTAAAATGATGAGTGTACAAACCAGATAAAGCAGATGTGTATGCAGTAGTGTTAACTGTAGTATGTGGGAGAACAGAGGTTGCTGTGTGATGCCACATGGGAGAAGCAAGCGTGTGAAGCCAGGTATCATACACATCCTCGGGCTATCACACGGTATTTCCCGCTTCATACAGTTATCCCACACATGCGCATGATGACACATAACTGAAAGACCGTGGGACTGTCATTCCCACATGGCCACGCATTGTTTAGAAAACAACTGTCGAGGAATTCAATGAGTGGCTAAAAGAAACAACGTGGCTCAACAATATAAACGTAAACAATATTTGAGTTATGAATCAATGACTATCGGCTCGTTATTTATTTTAGAGATAGGTATATCTTCCCACGCCCTACAGCCTAACACCGACAGCGCGAGTGGGGATGTATTACAGTAGATAACGTATCGATCAGGGCTGTCCCAAGAGAGTGTCACGGTAAAGTTTTGTCGCTTTGATATTTCAAACGCCTTTATTGAAACTGAGACTGAAACTCAGACAAAGAAGTTGTTCAAATTTTTAAAAACGCCAGTTGGTGTTACCTGCACGTAAACTACAGTGTGTGGATGCACTCAACCTGATGCAAAGCTCCGATTCAAATCAGTCCAAATGTGTGTCCTGTTATCGCCACACAGGCTGCATCTCTTCAGTTGTTCAATGAAAGGTTACTTACGGGAATAAATGCACAGGGGAACAATGTGCAGCATCCTCCTCGAGGCAACGCAAGCTTTGGGAATCCTGGAAAAACTGTCGGCTGCCGTCGAGCTCTCCGTTATTGGATGAAAACCTGCCTTTAAATAAAACTAATGTGATACTTTTACTCAGCGCTGAGTCTCTGAATGGGATGGATTTCCCCCGGTGTGAAGCCGACAAAACCGGAAGGGTATGATGACATCATATTAGAGTGTGTGATCTTTGTATCTCTGGTCCTGCCTAGTCTGGTAGGGCTGGTGTTTTACAGGTTTTGTGAATACACACTTTTGACAATAGATTATTTTCTGAATCACTTCCCTCTGGCAGGAGGCTGCAGCTCAGTCTCATCAACAATCTGACACTGACTCCGAAACCCACCCGGTAAAAACGCATTACATTAATTAAGAGGAGACCCCATCATAGTGGAGGTTTATGACAGGGAATATCTGATAGCAGACTGATATCAGTTCTAGGTAGTTCTTACCTGTCTTTGAGTCTGCACCTATTTATTTAAATCTGTGTGGGTTTTTTAAGCTTTTTCACTAGACTTTGAAAATTGTTTTCACGTTGTGAAATATAATATTGATTGATTACAGCCTCCTAGAGTTATTCAAGTTTTGATAATTTAATCATTTTTGCCAAAGTTGTGTGTGTAACCACTGTTAGCACTATGAAACAATTTATAGTGGGTTCCTATTGCTATACACATGGTTTCACACCATTCATGTATTACTGTACAACTTGTCTAAATTGCAGTTTATTAATTATATGACCAGTACACCACAGTATTATATTTTATATTTAATTGTATTCATTTTTATACACGTGTGTGTATATATATATATATAACTTGTGTTTTATATACTCTATTTCTCATTTACTTGGGTGATTTTCTTTTTATTCATATTGTATGAGCTTTGTTAGAGAGAACAACCATCTCATTGCTTATGATTGCTTCATATCAGTATCAGCTAGTAGCAGCGGTGTCCCAAGATATGTTCCAGTCGCCACCTTTGTTGACAATATGGGTTTCAAATTCTTCCAAGAATCACCTTTACAAATATTTTATGATGAAGGAAATGCATTCAACACTTTAATTAATATATTTTGGTCAGAAACAGTGAATGTAATTTATTTTACAAAAATTATGCAATCTGTGTGTGTGTGTGTGTGAATAAGAGTCAAATTATGAAGAGCTTTTTGAGCAAAAAATAATGAAAAAAAAACATTATGAAAACTACACATAGTTAGCTACAGGACATACAACATTTAAACCACTTTTGTTAAATCATGTTCTGCTGTTTGATAAAGTATTACTGTACAAAATATCCCAAACTTGAACTGTTTAGCTGCGGAATTAAAGTAATCTATAACAGATGCTGTGTTTCTTGGATTTATGAACACTGTCTCTCTGATGTAGTCACTCTTGTTAGAGAGCGGAGGCTCCGAGCCACCTGGCTGGCTGAGTTGAGATGCTGCAGTTGGTGGCTTTGAGCGGCTCAGTGTGGGACCACTCCCTCTCTTTCACCATCTCAATCGACAGCTCTATCTGCTTCTTCACTGGCTTGGAGGAGGGACATCTCTGAAGCCTACAGGGGTCAAGAGAGGCATCACACTTGGTATAGAGGACATCTGGCTCCAGGTCGGAGTTTGGATCACTTTGGCCCTCCGTGGCCTCCCTCTCCTGGGTGTAGATGGAAAGAAACTTGCGACGGCCTCCAGTCTTGGTGTCTGCTCTGTGTCTGTTGCCGTACACCGAGCTGGGCATAGGCTTAGCCTTAAAGGCCTGTCGTTCCTCTTTCAATCCCATCTTCCCCAGTTCTGCCACAATCTTCGCCTCCCTCTTCCTCCTCTCTCTCTCCAGGAAATGGAAAGGCTGTGGTGAATCAGTCGCAGAGGCCTGGTTTCTTTTGGTGTTACAATTATTACTGTTACTTCTGCTTCGGTTTGATTTCTGACCGCAGCGACGGCTGATAATTTCATAGAGAGGCAGGTGTATGTGTGCAGGTGCTGGTGATGCCCGGAACTTTTTCTGGCATTCTTGGAGTTCCTCCAGCTCCTGTCTCAGCAACGTGTTCTCCAGCTCAATCTCAGAGCGCGTTCGCACCTTGTGCCTCTTCCTCTCCTCCTCTCTTAGCATCATCTGAAACGGTTTGGGCACGGTCACCTTGGAGTTTGGCCTGACCCTGACTCCAGTTTGACGGGACAGTCTTCCCTGCGGTTTCAGATAAGAGGCCTTGGGCTGAAATCGAAACTGCTTCTGGGTCGTCATTTCTTCTGGGCTCAGCAGGATGTCTCTGAGAGAAAATATGAGAGTGAAATGAAGTTCATCTGAACTGACAACAAAGGATCCACGAGAAGGCTTCCAGAAAACTTCAACTTCCTCATTCTTAGATTTAATAACTTGTCTGCTACTACTTCACCAACCTCCCAAAGGTTTGCTCCTGGCCAGTTTCTCTTGGATTGTCCAGTTCCAGTTCCCCCAGGCTGTCAACTCCATAGAGCTCTGATTGGTCAGAACCGCTTGATGTGTCATGAAAGTCCAGCTCCTCCTGGGAATTGATCCTCTGAAGTTTCCTGGCAGGGCCACTACTGAGAGGTGCAGAAATTGTTTGTCAGGGAGGAGGAGACATTAACTGTCCAGGCAAAGCAACCACTAAATTAAAGCAATTAAACATCTGTAGAGCAGCTGTACAAAAGTATTGATCTACAAGTTGATTGTACATCAGTAAATATGGTTTATTGTATAATTATTATTGTTGCTGATCACCAGTCTTAACCTTTAAAACCATTCAACACGTTTACTGCAAGTGCCATTAAATGAAACAAATCAAATGGCTGAGTGAACTGATGTACCTAATACAACAGCACCACCCTATGGAAAACATCCCGCAAAAATCCCCTGCCAGTTATGAAAGCACAAGATTACGAAGGAGAAGTGTGTTTGTGGGTTTCAAGTTTCACTCATAGAAAGCTAAGAATAAATAAGTCGCTACAAGATATATCGTTCACCTCCCTGTGGAGAATATAGTAGCCTCCGGCCTTCCTATCAATGGCTATATTTGCTGTGTACTGGATCTACCTACCATTAATCAGCTCAAACTATTGTTTGGGATATCATTCGAGTATGTTTTTAGGGCTTTTTCCTTTTTTATTAGCTAGGACAGTTGAAGATAGACAAGAAAGGGGGTAGAGAGAGACTGGATCACATGCAGCAAAGGACCCAAACCCATGAAGGTTTTTGACAACTAGGTTACATAATGTACTCCTGAAACACCTCAAAACAACACAGATATGGAAAAATAAACATCTAGCATTTGGAGCATGTATGGCCCTTTCCCTCTTTATTAATGGATCATATGATATATCAAACCTGATTGACAGTCTGGCCTCTCTGTTTTCTCCTCTTCCCAGGCCTTCATCACATTCCTCTCCATGCCTCTCTCTGCCCTGGCTGATGTACATCCTCTCCAGCTCGGCCATGTTCCTTAGGTGAGCGCTCTTTAGCTCCTCCAGCCTCCTGTAGTACTCCTGGTTGGAGAAGTAAACATGCTGCTCTCTCTGCAAGCCGTAGATTTCAAGGGACAGAGACCTGCGAACGCTCCTGCCACCTCTTTCCTCCTGGCTGCACTCCAGATCATACTCCTGAAAGGTTGTCATCACAAACAATAATGTAATTACACAGCTTACTGTGTTTTAACTTTTCTCAAATTAAGTGTTGTAAAATGATTAACTATGTATGGTAGAGGTGTTTAATAGCTCATGAAAATATCTTTTAAAATGTCAACCTGTAATTAAACTTAATGCAATTATTCATACCTTATTCTTCACCAGGATTGTTACACTACTTTTGTGGGTTTTGCAAAATGCACTACATGCAACTGTAGTTGCATGTAGACTTTACTATTTAAAGACCTACGGTGAGGATGTGGGGTAACAGAAGAATTCATAGGGGATTTCCATATAAATACATGTGGCTTAAAAATCTTTTGTCAGTTTTTTAAATAACCTTATCTTACGACATAGCTGTGTGGTGCCTACATAATAAATATACTGTATCTCATTTAACCATTTACCTTGCTAAATTTATTTAAGTATACTTCCAACAGTCTGGATTTATGTTAATAAATTGTGGCATACTTAAATATGAAATTCTACTTTGCATGAAAGTAATAAGTCTTACATAAAATACAAGTCTAATTTGCTTGGATCAGTAGTTACAATCAAAGTGAGCACCTGCTTTAAAATATGTACAAGATTTACTAATCTTGTAGATCTTTTCCATGACGAATAGTAGGCTTTCCTTATTTTTTAGGCACTTTTAATACAGTTTATTATTTTTAAAGCTTGAACTGAGTAACCTTGCATATTTAAAGCCTTACCTCACTGGTGAAGTCCTCATCTCTGTCAAAGTAATGGTCTCTTTCCCCTCCATACAGGGCCATTAATTCCTTGTTTTCCAGAGAGGTTGATCTGTACATTAATGCCATCTTCCTCCTTATTCTCCAAAGAACAGATGCTTCACAACCAGCCTAAAGCAGAGTAGAGCTTCTGTGTGTCCTCCGTCGCCTCTGTCTGCACACTGACCTGCTAAGCAAAGAGATGGGTTAGTCAGAGCAGGACAGCAGCAAAGATTAACACACACTTTACTGACACACACACACACACACACACACACACTGAAAGCCTTATCCTCTTATCGTCAGGTGGAGTCGTGATTTTACAGTCATCAGCGGTGCTGTTGGCCAGATGGTCCATATGGTCCTGTGGCTTTTCACGTGAAGATGCGATTCAAAGTTAAATAGTTGTCTGCGAGGATTCTCCAAATCTGATTTAGAGATTAACTTTCTTAAATGCACCTCAAGTGGTACAGTATCCTGCACCTGTTGCAGCAAAGGTAATGAAGTGAAAAGACCCATAAGGGTGATTCACTGTATGTATGACATAATATGAATGCTTACAGAGCTTTATAATTGGTGATGTAATATTAACTATTGCAAAGTCTGGCACAAATTAACTATAAACTATGTATTAGCATTTCTAAGAGGAACATTGGGTTTTTTATGGTTGGGGTAAATTATGCTTTTTAAAATCACATAGAAAAATGAACACGTGTTAAAACACATATCTCATTCAACCAAGACTTGTTCTTGTTTCAATCATATTTCCATCTTTACACTATACAAGAAGCATCCTGCCCACTTCAGTTCACACCCCACCTCCATCTGCAGTATTAACAGTGTACAACATGCCCGCAGGAAACTTGTAGAGAGATGCAAAAATATACGAATACATACCAGATACATAAATAGATACTTGCAATTCCTCACAGGACTGAAATTAATTTTTAACTTTAATCTTTAACCAATAACCCCCGCTAAGATATATAGGGGTAAACAATATAATGCTTTTATATTCTGTGGCAGTTTGTGGCGTTTGGAGGGGTCAGACCTAAAAAATGAGAGCTAAACATTGTGTGTGACACCACTTGTAAAAGGAGAATAACTACCCTAAGGGTTTGTAATGTATCCTGTGAATACTGATGCATCCATTTTTGCACTATTTTGATTACAGTTGAGGATATTTCCCATTAGGCCTATAAATAGGACTCATACCCTTGTAAACACTAGGCCCTGTATGGGCTGCTTTGTGGTTGTGTCTTGTGTGCAAAGTTTTCCTGCTAGGGGTGGAGGGTGGATAGAGAGTCCTGCAGGAATATTATAGTAATTATCTATCAGAGTCCACTTGCACTGCTGACCTTTCTGGTCCAGTGGCATGTATGGAAAGCTCCCAAACTTTTGCTTCTAAATGCTTTGGCCAAGATCAAGTGAAGTGAAGCCTGGCCTCTGTTCAGCTGCGAGACTTTTGGGATTTGACAGATGAAGCTTGAGAGAGAGGACACATACCAGAGCCAACTGTGTTAATCTGTTTACTTACGTTTCTCATCACTGTCATTACAAGTCTTCAAGTCTTCACTTCGAGCTGCATCACCTCTCCCCATCTGTCTCCTGTCTCCCTCTATTTCATCTCCTGTCCATCCACCTAAGAGCTTCAGGCAGCACGAGGCGCAGAGATCTGAAGAGGAAAAAGAAAAAGAAGAGGGCGAAGATGTCGTAACATAATAAATGGTTCAAAGCAGCATGACCCCTACCAAGAAGTTCAACCAAAAAAAGGATTTTTCGTGACCCAAATGGTGAAAGTATCCATTAACTGAAAATAAAAAACACGGTGTGACCCCTCAGAATTATCGTCCCATCATAGGGCCTGACCCCCAGGTTGGGGACCACTACTTTAGGGTAATCCTATGTAAATACTACCATTATAATATACACCTAAAGAATTTTTTTTTTCATTAAGAACATCAAATTCACAATTTTTATCTAGTATTTTTGGAATCTTAGTACCACAAAGAATGATAAAATCATGTAAATGTAATATTTTAGTCCCATAGGATTATTAAGAACCACCCTGCAGGAATGATAACATTGGATATGACAAATGAACAGTTCCTACTACAGATACAGATCATCTTCTGTGGTCACGTTCTTTATCTGTCCACACGATGGAGCTGTTGTCCATTTTATGAAGCTTTCAGTGTTTCTATTAAATGTAACCTGCCTTACAATCATCATTATCATGTACAAGTTTGTTTCACATGCATGTAATCATCAGTTTCTGAATAAATGTCATTCTGAGCAAAGATCACAAAATCACAAATAAATATAAATTTTTCACTAATAGTTAAGATGTTTTAAAGTTGCTGTTTTGTGTTTTTATTGTAGTTTTTCTTACCCTCTCACATTGTAGTTTCTGGAATTATGTCTTTTTAGTCCGTATTATATACATGCAGTTCTCAGAACACAAGGTACTTTTCCTCCCCATCCTTGCAGGTGCAGAATCCCATTTGTTTGCATGTCTGTGAAAGAGAGAGAGAGAGAGAGAGAGAGTTATCCATCCACTGATTCTCTGCAACAAATTATACCTGTAAAGTGTTTAGGATGGTAACTTATATATTCCCTCATATTGTTATATTCTGTATCATTTAAAAAGACACGTAAAAGAGTGTTTTTCGGAAAGAAAAAAAAACACAATTGATTCATGTATTTCCACTGTGCAACAACGGTCGGGTTGATCAATTGTTTAATTAATAAAAAGTAATATTATCCTCCTTTTTCCTTAGACAGACCACAACAGTACAATATAAAGTGAACATCAATTTCTGACATTGTGGGACATTTAGTATTTCTGTGTGTCTGCTGTATGTGTGTGTCTAGTTTTCCACTGGGCACCTCGGTGTGTTGGCGTGGGATGAATAGTGGCAGTGTTCAGTCAGAGTGGGGCTGAGTAAACAATCATCACAAGCTTGGACGTCCTCCTCCACACAGACCAGTGCGGCTGCACAAAGCCACAGTTCTGCTCTGAGTTTTGTGGGACAAACAGTGGTTCACTAAACCACCAAATATCTTGTATCCAATATGGTTTGTGACTTCCTTCAACTTGTACAGTTTCACTTCTTGCTTTGTGGGACCTCACAGCAAATGCATACTAACCTAACCTAACCTATGACTGTAGGATATCCAAAGAATCATTTCAACCACATTTATGAGTGACTGTGAAACTATCTGGTTATTTTTATAATTAGATTGACAGACCTCCATCACCTTTTCTGATAAGGCCATTGTTAGGTGAACAGCAAGACATTTTTGACACATTCACAGACTGTGGCAAAACAAGGTGATGAAATGGAGAAGTGATCATTTTTACATTTAGTAGCCATGTTTTCATACACATCTTTTTTTTCTTTTCTACTTTCCATAAAACTCTTTGTATCTTTTGTTCTGAAAATGCTGAATAAAGTTGATTTTGATTTTAGTTACTCAAGCAGTACAATTTCATAACTGTCCCTTCAGGTGCCTTTCTGTCTTCTTTCGTTATTTGTGAAATTCAAACTTCTGATTCTATTGAGGCTCCTCTCAGGGTGTGAACTACAGGAGAGCCAGGGGAGCTGGGTCCTCTTAATAAGACACGACCTCTGCTGAAAACACCATTTGTGAAAATTTGGGGGGGTCTGTAAAATATTAACAGTATGATATTTTGCCATGCATTTCTGTTTTTCTGTACCTTTTTCGTCATGGATCATGCGTAAAATTAGGCTATTATTGACATAGGATTCATGCATAAGTGTGATTTACCACTAATTCATCATCGAAGCATGGCGGCTGATATAGCACTTCATTCACTTTAACTCAAAGATCAGAAAACTTATTTGGTCCCACTCTGCGTGCCAAAAAAAAGTTAGCTCCCCCATAAGGCACAGTATGGTTCGCATATTGGCTGTTCTGAAACAGCTCTGGAGGTCCACCGGCAGTCATTACTTCTGTGTAAATTAGAAGGGCCTTTTTCCTGTCGGCCAGAACCCTTACAGCTGCATAGCAGCATAACCACAATTTTTCCGGAACAAGGCCTATGTTTAGGAGGAAATCCCCCTCACCTCATCTTACCTCAAGTCACATTCACACATCACAAAAAGGTTCATATTATTACCAAGAAACATGGAGTACCCACGTCAAAAACCATGTGGGTGCAGACAGACACATTTAGCCCCCCACAGGAACAAACACTGATGTGGACATGGAGAGATTCAGGAGTGTTCTCTCGTCTGCTAACCTCCCACTTCACAGCAGCACTTCATAACCTGTTTGTTTTTTAGAGGGATACTCCACCCTCTCGTCAACAAGCCCCACTCATTAAGTTTCTCAAACCACTTCTGTTACACAGCCTGGGCTTTGTAAGGAAGGCTGATTGCTGCCTAAACATAAGACTCAGACAAACCTAGCTACCGCCCTAAAGACGTAGCTGGAAGCAATGAAAGGAAAAGTTAAATGTTAAATGAAAGTTAAAATTCTTTAATTCTTTAAAAAGTTAAAAAGTATTTTTTTATTAAGAAATAAACAATTCAGTGGAGCATTTCAGACAACATCTCTATATTTCACACGTTTGTCTCATGTCACATAAAGCTGAAATGTTTGCATGTCCACACAGGGTATATGGTATATGATATGATATATATGTCTATATTGTTTATGTATTTAGAACAGCTAACAGAAAACACAGACTACAGAGTTCATTTTTTAAGGTACTTGAGGTTAACTGATTATATTGTACACTCATTCTCTAGTATTCTTATCTGTGATGGTGAATGCAATCCAGGAATTCTTTTTGGACCAAACTGTTTGCAATTTCTGGTTTATCTGCTTCAATCTCTGCTTCGATGGCCATTTCTCACATTTCCCAGCGTGCCTTTGGTCAGCCCTGAGAGAACCAGTTTAACCCTGTTGGAATTTTTGTTGGTTGTTAAGCATGAGAGTGTGATAACAAGGGCAAAAGAGAGAGAGATTTCCTCTTTGGTTCAATTTCCGGTCTTGAAAATGCTGCATGTCTTGTAGCTGCAGTGCATTCTACAACATGCTGTTGTCAGCCATTATAACCTCCTGGCTGAAAGCTCACTGACAGACCGCAAACAGTGAAATGATCATGACGTGCTAATTCTGTTACAAACAACTGTCTGCTGAGCTATGAACCTCATACAGACTGTATACAAGTGTAGTTTTGAGTGAGTTACCGTGTTATGCATTACTGTTGTACATGCTGAAGTGCATTTGAACGTAGAAGCAATCACCTAAAAGTGTCAAACCACTTTCCTGTTTGTGGGAAAGATCTTTCTTTAACCTACATTGACAGGTTTACACTTTTTCCATCTGTCTGTGCATCACAGTCATGCAAAGAATACCCCAACATAAAACATGCACAGTAGAAAGAAAGGTAGACAGCAAGCTTTATGCAGTTTGACACTGTGTCTTCAATTCAGCACGAATCAGCTTCTTCAGCAACATAGCACTTACATCATGTGGGTTTATTTTTGCAGGTTATATGAGATTTAAAACATTAATATACTGTAGCAGCAAACAACTATTTGCTATGTAAAGATAAAGTTGAGTCATGTTATCGTGGGCAGAGCATTACACCCATACTCCCTTTGCCTGTGTTGCTATCGCAGCCTGTCTGTACTACAGCTTTACAAAGCCAGTCTGGCCGTGTGTGCATGTTAGCTAGTCCCTCCGTTCTGTCTGTGAATTAAGGATTTATTTCGACCAAACCAGAGTTGGTGATCGTTTGAATGGTGGAAACAACAAACAAAGACTGTTTTGGCACTGCTCTTGTGTATGCCTGGTTGCCAGCGTCTGGTTGCAAGCTGTTTCTGGTTAAACAAAAGGTCTATCTCTGTAGGATTATTTCCAATGATGTTGTCAGATACTTAAGAAAAACAAAAACAACACATTTAGTCAACGTAGATTGACAGGCGCATTTGTCCCCAAGGATTAGCTAACATTACATGGCACCCATAGCAGCCTGTTTTGCTGTTATTTTTCATCTAACTTTGTAAATCAGTTGTTTATTTCTACCAAACCAGTGTCGGTGATCGATGGTTATTAATTTGTCAATGGAGTCTTGTCGGCCCATTGCCCATTGTTTTCGTGTGAGATGCTGGTGCTCTAGTGCGAGATAGTGGCAAGTGACTTCCACAGTATAACTTTTAAACATAATACACTGTATATTGTTATTAAAGTATTCAATTGAAAGCTAACACAAAGGTTCGTTGTCCCAAAAAGCTGCTCAGTGTATAAAAGAATGTGCTTTTTAAGAGTGTAATCCAATAACAGAGACTAATGAAATGACTTCAAGGGTTCAAAGTCCTAGCTTTCATTAGTGCAGAGAGTATACTGTACAATACTGACAGGAAAGACAGATTAACCTGCAGACGTATCTATATTAGGCCAAACAAATTAACTTCATTTCTCACCAGAGTCACCACAAACATGTGTGCTGCAGGCAGTGATGTGTGATGGCCCTCCCAAAAGCACACAGGAAGGCTCACTTAATCAAAATGTATCTCTAATTTATAGTTTCAAAGAAAATTGGGAATCTTCTCTTTTAGTTTGTATCTTGTGCTGTTTACAAAACTTAAGATTGTTCTTATCATGTTTTATGTCCCCATACATCCAGATATTGCATCCCCTGCTGCAAGGAGATGCTTCCAAATGATAATAAAAATGTGTGCTATACAAATTGCATCTTTAATTAGAGTCATGCCAGTTTTGTTTATATAACCCAGTGTTGCAAATCCACAAATTGTCTTGAGGGGCTTTACAATCTGTGCAGCCTACAACACCGTCACACCTTACACCCTTGACTCAGATATAAAAAACTCCCCTCAGAAACCCTTTAATGGGAAAAAACACCTCAGAAAGAGGAACAGAAGAGGGGTATATTATTTTGACAGATATTATGATTGCAATATGATTCACAATTAGTGAATACACACTACTACAGAGTTTGGGAGGCCCTAAAACAGAGACATTTGGAAACAATGTTTCTGGCCCCATTCCAGAGTTGTGTTTTTTGGAAACGATCACTGATTGGGTCTTATCAGTCACAACGTCATGCACAATTAGCCACGCCCCTGCCACGTAACCATTTCCCAGAAGAAAACAATCAGCATCAGTGACTCATGCCTGGAGGACCAGTGGCTGATTCAACATGAAGTACAGCCGTTACTGACTTTGTTGTTTATGCTAGCTGTTGAGTGCACTAGAAGGAGCAATAACAGAAACAGGAGGACCTCCGGATGTTATCTGAGTGACAAGGGAAGACTCTGGACTGTCCTGACAAGTTGTTTCAGTCATCAACAAGTTGGCTGAAGTGGCAGCAAAGAAGCTACAACTAGCTGCTAAAAGGCAGACATGTCCCTCAGGCAGTCATAGAAAATAGAGCTTCAGGAGAGTGAATATTGGAGTTTTGGCGAATTTGCCAGGTGACCATAAACTCCATGATAACGTCTTTCCGGAACTTCTGGAT